AACTGCGGCGATTTCTCCTCACAACTGTGGCAAGGAAGCTCGTAAAAAATGGGGCAAAATACGCTTCCCAAATGCCCCGCTTGGCGACAGACGTTTTGGGCTCCATTGGGGTCGTAAATCGAGGACTACCTGTAAAGAACTTTCTCTCCAATAGGAATAAGAGTCTAAATATGAGACGAGGGCTCAAATTTCAGTTATTGCCGTGCCTTCACATCTGGAATTCCTTCTCTTGTCCTGCCGGACTAATTACCTCATCTTGCCTTGATTGGACTTAGAGTTACAGTTTTTGTTGACCATGTTTTGGACTTGATTCTCTGCAGCCAAAGGCTGTTCCTCAGACTTTTTCTCTAGCCCAGAAGGTAACCAGGACATTGGAGGCAAAGTTGGAGCTAATAAAGGGACTCCTACTGATTATCTGACCGTGTTGCCTTTGTGCCACGCCCCGGGTCATCACACCCTCTACCATTTCAGACAAATGTTTGTTCAGTCTCTTCTTCAAAACCCTGCAGTGATGAAGCACCCACAACTTCTGAAGGCAGGTAGTTCCACTGATTAATTGCCAGGAAATTCCCCCTTACTTCTAGGTTGCTTCTCTCCTGGATGAGTTTCCATCCATTGTTTCTTGTCCTGCCCTCAGGTGCTTTGGAGGGTAGCTTGAACCCCTCCTCTTTGTGAGACCCCCAAATATTGGAACACTGCTATCATGTCACCCTTAGGCCTTCTTTTCATCAAACTAGACATACCCAGTTCCAGATTGTTTTATCCTGCCTTGCTTATATATGTAAAAATAAAAAAAAACTCAAAGACAACAAACATACCTCATGCAGTTTTCTCTGTGTCTGTCCTGAATTCTATACTATTTAACGTCACTGATGTCCCCACTGGGTTTCTAGGGCATCGTCCTGATTTATTTGTTCAATCAATTTATACACCAGCTTGCATCTCCAGAAAAGAAAAATAGATAGATGCATATTTTCCAGCGTGTCCTGCCAGGGCAATTTTTTATCTCACTTTGTCTTCCGGGTGACAGTTCCGAAAGGCATTAGAAGACTCAGCGGTGACAACCAAAGTGGTAAGAAATTACTGGGGGCCCCGATTCACATGACGATCAAAATGTTTAGCGTCCTCCGCTGTTTCACTTCCCTTGCAGAAAGGGACGGATTCGCATCTGCCCCTGCTCCTTAACACGTCGTCCTCGACTTATGACTACAATGGGGCCCAGAATTTCCGTTGCTAAGTGAAGAGGTTGTTAAGAGAGTCATGTCCGAAGTTATGAACTTTTTTGGAGTGATGGTTAAGGCAATCACGGCAGTTGTTGTTAAGTCAAGGACTAGATTTTGGGGGATTTTGTGAGCCTAGGAACAGAGGTGAGCCTCAACATCTGGCGTGCCAGTCAGCTGTTCCATGGATAGTGGCGAGGGCAGCAGGAGCAATAGAGTTGGCAAGCTATTTATCTGTATTGACCCACCAGCTGCCAGCAAAGCTGGCGACAGACTCGGACAGTGAGGGAGTTGGGGAGGAACTTGCGCCAGTCCTGGAGTCTGGGGATGGCTCTGATGGATGCTCTGCGTCAGAAGCAGAGAGAGGGCCGACATTTCCCAGCTGCCTTCAGAGTCGGCGATAAGTGGGGGAAAAGAACAGCTGGAGCCTGTCCCAGATGGGCGTATGCACAAGGCTGTCAGGAGAGCAGAACAATTAAGGAACACGGGCCAACTCAGAAGGAAAGGCACACACAGACGCTGAATGGCCCCTTTCTTGGGAATAAATACAAGCAAAAGGGGAGCGGTGATTGCAGGAGACCATATTTCTTTTGAAGGATTTGCTTAACAGAGTTCGTGCCTCACAGAGACTCCTTGCCAGGTATTTGGTTTACAGCTTTGCGACTGGAAGCTCTCGGCCTGGCAGCTATCCAAGGACTGACAAGGTCTGTTCTTGCAATTGACCCTTGGGAGGATTATCACTTGGACATTTCTGTGTGTGTGAATCAGTGCTGGTATGCTACCGGTTCAGACCGGTTTTCCCGAACTGGTAGTAAAGCTAAAAAAAAAAAAGCCTCCCGCGATCACGCCTTTGTGCTTTTCTTTATCCTCTCAGCTGATTGGCGCTGCAGGCTTCAGCTGGTGTGGGGAAAGCTGCATGCACGATCATCAAACTGGTAGTGAGGCATGCAGGATTCCACTGCTGGTGTGAATGCCCTGAATTCAGTGACTAAATAAAGAGGGGGTTTGGGATAAGGAGCCTGTTTCTTGGTTTTGCTAAGGCGGGGTCAGAACATAATTCAAATTTCTAGGTTCTATCATATCACAAGGCCTAAAATGGACAACCAACATCAAAAACATCATCAAAAAAGCACCACAAAGAATGTTCTTTCTGCGCCAACTCAGGAAGCTCAAATTGCCCAAGGAGCTGCTGATACAGTTCTACAGAGGAATGACTGAGCCTTCCTCTGCACTGCTATAACTGTCTGGTTTTGTAATGCATCCCAACAGGATAGACACAGACTCCAGAGGATAATTAGGACTGCAGAAAAAAACAATGGCTACCAGCCTCCCTTCCATGGAGGACCTGTGTACTGCACGAGTCAAAGTGGGCTGTGAAAATATTTACAGACCCCTCACATCCCGGACATAAACTGTTTCAACTCCTTCCCTCAAAAGACGCTATAGAGCACTGCACACCAGAACAACTAGACGCAAGGGGAGTTTTTCCCCAAACGCCATCCCTCTGCTAAACAAATAATCCCCTCAACACTGTTCAACTATTACAAAGTCTGCACTACTATTACTATTAATCTTCTCATCACTCCTTATCGTCCATCCCCTCTCACTTGTGACTGTATGACTGTAACTTTGTCACTTGTATCCTTACGATTTATACTGACCGTTTCCTAGTATGATTTGATTGCTGATCACACCCTATGACTATCATTAAGTGTTGTACCTGATGATTCTTGACTCTTGACGGATGTCTCTTTTGTTTTATGGACACGGAGAGCGTTTGCACTAAAGACAAATTCCTTGTGTGTTCAATCACACTTGGCCAATAAAGAATTCAATTCAATTCAATTCAATTCAATCCAATCCAATTCAATTCAATTCAATTCAAAATTCTAATCAATTCTATTCTATGAAACGGCTTGCCTCTGGAAGTGCTGGGTGCTCCAATACCGGAGGCTTTAAAGAAGAGACTGGACAGCCACTTGTCTGAAACAGAAGAGGGTCCCTTGCTTGAGGAGAGGGTTGGACTAGAAGACCTCCAAGGTCCCTTCCAGTTCTGTTATTCTGTTTTTAAAAGTTCTTCCCCAAGTTTTCGGAACTACTCACCATTTAAACCACAGTGAGGCTATTTCTCCTCTTACAGCCAGATGGCAGCACTCACAACACTCTGGTTGATCTCAGAAAGCTAACCAGTTCAGACCCTGATGTTGTGCTTGACTTACAGCTATTCATTTAGTGACCGTTTCAAGCTACGACAACCCTGAAACAAGTGACTTGCGACTGCTTTTCACATTCACGACTGTTGCAGCCTCTCCATGGCCACACGATCAAAATTCACACGCTGCTTGGCAACTGACTTCTATTTATGACACTTGCCGTGTCCTCGGTGGGGTCACGCAATCAAGGGGAAGTGAAGTCAACGGGGGAAGCCACGATCCACTTAACGGCTGTGTTGCTAATTTAACAACGGCAGTGATTCACTTTAACAAGCGCTGGCAAGGGAGGTCGTAAAAATGGGGGAAGGTCACTTAACAGTTCTCTCGCTTAGCAATCAATGGAAATTGTGGGCTCAATCGTGTTCGCAAGACGAGAGCAACCTGCCTTCCCTAAATCCTAAACTAATCCAGTCACCTGCATTCACTGGAACGGTTAAGCTCCAAGAAAACGAAATCACGGTTTCTTGCTTAATGCAGGGGTATCAAACTCAAGGCCCCGGGGGCTGGATCCAGGAGGTGCTCAGATCTGGCCCGTGAGGCCTCCCTGGAAACAGGCAAGGGACCGGCCTGTGGTGCTTCTGCCAATGAAAACGGAGGCCGGGCAGGCTGTGCGGGGCTTCTCCAAGTTTAGTTTTGGCTGGCAGAGGGCTGCAGGAGGTCATCGTAGCCGAAAACGGAACCTCGGTTAAGTGACACTGAGCTGGACACGACCCCCTGGCCTTGCCTCGCCCCTGAGATTCAAACACAACCCTGATGCGCCCCTCAATGAAATAAGAGTTTGAAACCCCCGTTCAGGGGCGGGCTTCAAAAATTTTAGCAATCGGTTATCAGCCTGAGTTGTCTGGGTGGGCGTGGCTGCCTGCACCACGGCGGGATGGGAGAGGGCATTTTCGCCAACGGTGGGATTCAAATTTTTTTTACTACCGGTTCTGTGGGCGTGGCTTTGTGGGCGTGGCAGGGGAAGGATACTGCAAATCCCCATTCCCTCACCACCCCACTAACCTGCTTTCCAGCTCCGTTCTCCTGTGCAGGGCAACCCAAGGAGACCCAGCCGATCAGCTAGGACTCAACGGGAGGCAGAGAATAGATTGGGTTGGCGGGGCCAGTCAGAGACGGGATTTGGCGGTTCTCCGAACTACTCAAAATTTCCGCTACCGGTAAGAACCTGCTGAAGACCATCTCTGATTTTCGCCCTTGCCAGGGCTCCAAAGGCTTTCCTCGACCCTCCGGGAGGGCAAAAACAGCCTCCCTGGGAGGCTCCTGAAAACCGGAAACCGGCTTATTTCTGGCCTCCAGGTGGCCCGTTTTTCACCTTCCCCGAGCCTCCGTGCAGGCGCTGTACTTACCTGGAATCCAAAACGGGCCATGCGGAGACTCCAGCCAGGGGTGGGATTTGCCGGTTCACCGAACCATCCATTAAAAATAATAAAATTAGCTACCAGTTCTCCCAAACCTGGGCGAACCGCTATCAGCCCACTGGCTGCCCCTGTTCTAATGTATAGGGAAAAATGTTCCCTGGCAATGCATGTCACAGAACGATAGGAAAAAGAGGAAGCACCGAACTCACCTGTACAAGGATCCAGGAGAAAATGACAGCCACCCAGGGGTTCCCACGCGAGGTCTGCTTCGCTGGGCTCAAAACTTTGCCTTTATCCCAAGGGACAGGCAGTACAGAGAGGGGGGGGGGGGGAGAAAAATGAAAGAATGGTTGTACTACAATTCTGTTTGGGATAATTAATTATCTCAGTATCTACTTCTATTCTACTACCGCAGCACCATTGACAGTATCCTGACATACACCATTCTTGCACGGTATGGGAACAGCTCCGTAGCGGACAAAAAAGCTCTACAGAGAATCATTAAAACTGCTCAGAATATCACTGGGTTCCAGCTACCAGCCCTGGACAACATCTTCACATCTCACTGTTTGAGGAAGTTGCACAACATTCTCAGAGACTCTTCCCATCCTGCTCACAATCTTTGTGGCACGGTTGCCTTCTGGCAGAAGATACAGAACAATTCAAACACGGACCCCACGTTTTCTGAACAGTTTTTATCCCAGAGCTATAATTGCATTTAACAATGAACTTAAGGACCCACCATCAGGGAGCTGTTGGACAGTATTACTTGGTCTCTTGTGTGTTTTTAGGAGGTGGGGAATTTTGGTGGGCGCGGAGGTGTTTGGGGGATCGTCATGTGTGTGTGCATGTTGAGTCTGGTCTCTGGGTGTTATGTGAATTTCGTTGTACGAATACTGTGTATATACGTACAATGACAATAAAGAATTCTAATTCTATTCTATTCTATTCTATTCTATTCTATTCTATTCTATTCTAT